CAGCGACTCACCGAACCCTTCGGTGGACTGGACGTCATCCTCTGCGGGGACCTGCGGCAGTTGCCGCCCGTGCGTGCCAGCAAGATCTTCAAGCGGCCCCACAGTGCTGATGGTCTCCTCGGATTCAGCACTGTCACCTGGCATCATCTCGAATACTTCCCGCTCGTGAGAGTCGTGCACCAGTCCGACGTCACCTTCTGCGTGGTCCTCACCAAGATCGGGGACGGCCGCGCGCTCGAGCCCGAAGAAGTAAAGCTTCTCGAATCCAAGTTCGTCATGGTCGAGGAAGCGACCGAGTGCGCGCCCTCGGCCGTGCGCATCTTCTACTCTAACGCCGATGTCACGCGTTTCAACGAGACCGTGGCCCGTTCGCAGGACGACTTCGTGGTGCTTCGCGCGCGTGATCGGTACCTCGGCTGCAAGACGCCGCATCTGCTCGAGAATGCCAAGCGCAGGGTTGCCCGCACGGTTCCCAGCGAGTTTGCAAATCTGGCCGGGGAAATCATGGCCGTGTTTGGCAAGCCCTACATGATGACTCATAACACCGATCTCGTGGATGGTCTGGTCAACGGTGCGATTGAAGTCTTGCGCCTGTGTGAGCTCGCCGGCCCGTTGCCCGATGATGGAGATGGAGTGGATGAAGAAGGAGAAGGAGACAAGGATGAAGAGACGCGCGTGAGGCGACTGTGGCTCGAATTCGATGTGCCCGGTACCGGAAAGCTCACGCGTGTGCGCGCCGCTCGGGCCATTCACGCGGCCCGTTCCAACGGCTACGTGACCAGCGAGAACTGGATACCCATCAAGATGCAGTCGGCCACCGTCACGGTAGATCGAAAGGCCGGCATAGCTTGTAAACGGACGCAGTTCCCCCTTGTCCAGGCCAGCGCCATCACCGTGCGCAACTCTCAGGGGGGAACCTACGCCTCGGTCGTGTACGACTACTTCAAGACGCACCCGCAGAAGCTCGTCTACGTTGCGCTCTCTCGGTGTACCAACCTCAACGGACTATACCTCACCAACGCTGAGGGAGACCACACCTTCTATCACAAGCAAGACAACCCCGACAAACCCATGCTCGATGAGTTTCGGAGGCTCAAGAATCACCGTCTCGTCACCGTCACGCAGCGCTACCTCTCCGCTCTGAGGGACCAGCATTTCCGCAGAGTGTGCGAGGGTGGCTGTAGGGAGTTCACGCTCGCGCTCCTAAACGTCCGCTCTCTCTGGGCGCATGCACTGTACGTTGCAAAAGACCCCGTACTTTCCAGAGTTGATCTCCTCTGCCTCACGGAGACCTGGAACCGCTCCTGCGGTGACTGCGCTGCCGATGTCTCCCTGAGTGGCTACGATCGCGTGACCCGGGCCCTCGCCGAGAGAAGGGCTGGTGGAGTGGACGTCTTCCTAAAGCGCTACCGGCCCTTCAGTGAAGAGCTCAGGCGACAGCAGGACCGGACCCAACTCCTGGTCTTACAGCGTGCCGACCTCGCTCCTGATGCATCGCCGCGAAGGTGTTCCACTGACGACCCGTGCTCCTTCGCCCGGAGTGGAAGCCGGGGCGAGTACTGCGGCGTGTGCTTGGTTGGACACGTCCACGCCAACGTCCTCTCGCATGCCGTGTGTACTTCGCCGCTCAGAGATGACTCGCCGTACGCCTCCGTCTACGCCAGTGCCTACTTCGGCGATGCCGTCCTGGTTGTGACCGTCTACCTGGCCCCGAACCTCTCGAGAGATGACGTCTTGGAGCTGATGGATGCGGCGATGGAGAGTGAGTCTGTGCGTGCGTGTCCCTCGGTTCCGATTGTGGTGGTGGGTGACTTTAACGTGGACGTTAGAAAGGGCAATGGCTGGTTGGTTGACCGCATGCTGAACAATTACTCGATGACGTGTCTCTCTCTCGAGTTTCCGACCACGATCAACGGTGGCTTCATAGACTTGGCGTTCAGTAGGAAGTGTACGGTCCGCTCCGTCTTGCCGGATCCGCTCACCGTACATTTCTCGGATCACAAAGCGCTGGTACTAACCGTGAGCTACAACGATAACACGAATAGGTGCTAATCTGTAGTGTAGTTTGTGTGTGTGTGTGTGTGTGTGTGTGTGTGTGTGTGTGTGTGTGTGTGTGTGTGTGTGTGTGTGTGTGTGTGACGCGCTCGCGATGTGTGCATTTAATGCATCGTACAAAAATCGTGAAGTGTAAATAAATAATACTTCGTATATAATGTATCTGTGTACAAATGCTTCATGACAAACAACACTTAAATTCATTAATTACACTTTAATCATCATCATCAGTAATAAAACTCCCAAGCATTTCCCCGAGGGTGAACATGGTTAAGTGCGAATGCACGGGGTGATGCTATGAGGGGAGTAAGTTAAAATCCGTTGGCATTCGCCAGTGAGTTAACGTAAACTCCCCCGTGTGATCAAATTGTGATTCCCAGGAACCATTACACCATAAAGGCACCATAGTGTGATTAATAAATATAATAGTGCGAAATAATAAATACCCCTCATAGCATCACCCCGTGCATTCGCACTTAACCATATTCACCCTAGGGGAAATGCTAGATAGATAGATAGATAGATAGATAGATAGATAGATAGATAGATAGATAGATAGATAGATAGATAGATAGATAGATAGATAGATAGATAGATAGATAGATAGATAGATAGATAGATAGATAGATAGATAGATAGATAGATAGATAGATAGATAGATAGATAGATAGATAGATAGATAGATAGATAGATAGATAGATAGATAGATAGATAGATAGATAGATAGACAGACAGACAGACAGACAGACAGACAGACAGACAGACAGACAGACAGACAGACAGACAGACAGACAGACAGACAGACAGACAGACAGACAGACAGATAGATAGATAGATAGATAGATAGATAGATAGATAGATAGATAGATAGATAGATAGATAGATAGATAGATAGATAGATAGATAGATAGATAGATAGATAGATAGATAGATAGATAGATAGATAGATAGATAGATAGATAGATAGATAGATAGATAGATACGCTCAAAGTGGCCGTAGTTAGCTAAGAAATGCTTCGCATTTAAAAAAGAAAGGCACGGATATTTATCTGCACACGCCCAGGCAAAAGGCAACACCTGTGAAATCGGCATGCGTGACAGTTTATACGTGAGCGATAACAGTTCAAACATTTAGTTTTGCTTCATACAGGCATTTCTGTCTACTTTGCTTTCTATCCCTGTGCCTTTTTTTTTCAGTTGACAACATTCGTTTCTATTGCCCCGCCGCAGTGGTCTTGTGGCTAAAGCACTCAGCTGCTGACCCGCAGGTCGCGGTATCGAATCCCGGCTGTGGCGGCTACATCTCCGATGGCGGTGGAAATGTTGTAGGCCCGTGTGCTCAGATTTAGGCTCACGTTAAAAAACCCAAGGTGGTCGAAATTTCGGGAGCCCTCCACTACGACGTCTCTCATAATCTTATGGTGGTTTTGGGCCGTTGAACCCCACATATCAATCAACCTTCGTTTCTATTGCGTGGACTTTGATCTTGTGTTCTTGTAAGCGTACTCCCTTTTATCACTTGTCAACAGAACGGAACCAGACAGTGAAATTAAGCGAAAGGTAAAGAGCCCTCTTTTTGAAACTGTGTCATCGCGATGACACTGATGCATGTATACTCTTTCTATTGTGTACACATTGTGCTAATAAAGTTTGAGTTGGGCTACTTTGCTTTTCATCGAAGTTGGGTTAGAGAGAGGAGTAAACTTTATTTTCGAAACAGTGCGCCGAGCAATGCCCGGTGGGAGGGCACCTTAGTCCCGGAATCCTCTGGCTTCTACTGCCCTCTTGGCCCTGGCGACGAGTAGTTGCTGGGTTAGCACGCAAAATTTTCATGTAGACCAAGAGTACTCAAGATATCCTATCATATGTTTTTTTTTCTCTTCAACCTCGCCACTCGATTAACAACAATCGACCACTTCCAGTCATTGCAGCATGTTGCAATGGCAGGAGTGCATGTTTCTGTTAATCCTACAAGAAACGAATCAATCTACTGTTGCTCTTTGAACCAGTTCCAGTCGAATATATTTGTTTTAAAAAATAAAACAGCAAGTACATTCATAATTCTTTTTTTCACATGATCAGATTTCAATACAGTCAAGTCATGGTTCTAGTTAAAGAGCTAAGTAGGATACATACAATGCTGGAGCATAACTTTGCATTATTTAAGGATCATTTATCTGGCAACAAAAAAAAAACAACTCAGCGAGCTCAATTAACGAGCAAACGCTTTCCTTCTGAGCTGCTGCAATCGTATCCATACATAGTGGAGGGTATCTCAACTACGTCCTTCTTTTAGATGGCCTCCGAAATCTGCGTCAGCGCCGCGCAAAACAAAAGTTGACCCAAGAAAAACAGACAGATGCGGACGTTCCAGTGCCACAATCAGACAGATAAGTAGAGGATTAGGGTAGCCTCCACATTTTTTTTTCGTCATTACTGAAACGTTATAGACGAAGTAACAACAAACAAAAAAGACGCAACAAGGTTGCTTATGCAGTAACTTACGACGACTGAAAGGCGGACGTGATCTTCTTTTTCTACTCATTTAATGTATTGATTCCACCCCACCACACTCCGAAGGCTTTTGACACTATTGGTGCTTTTACACTGACTCCGAGATCGAAGGTCTACCTCGGCAGGTTTTATACTCCGTGATCGGTCAGGGCAATTTTTGCTCAAGCTACGATATAATGTGGTGACATCTGTGTGTGGCGTAAGGTCACATGACGCCACTTTGACATCAAGATGACATCACAATGACGTGAAACGTTTTTACGATCTGTGATAGCATGGCGACGTCATCACGAGATTGTGGCTTTCGCCATCAGTCGTGTTGGAGCCGCTGACGCGAGACGCCGCGTCACTTTTCGCGTTTGATGACGCTTCTAGGACTTCCGCCTTAAAGAATGCAACGAGCAGCAGAGCCAGCCGTAGGCGTTCATCTCTTACTCTTCGAGCACCGTGCGGAGAACCCGGGAGGCTGGATTGCCGAAGACTGAACCGACGGCGCCTAGAGTTGCCGAGTAGGCGACGGACAGCAGTAGGACTCGCCGGATCTGCAGGTACTTCCTGCGGTAACCGGGTTCACACCTCAAGGTGAAAGTCATTTTCTCTATTTAACGAACAAGGGCTAAGATAAGCAAAATCTTCAAAGTCCTCCTTCGTTTATTTCGTCTAAAGATAAGAGACAAGAGCGCGTACACGCGGTTGTCACACATGTCCCGTTTATTAGGGAGGCGATCGCCGGGCTAATTCCAAGGGCCGAAGTATTGGCCCCCCGAACCGCACCACGAAAGCGTGGACAATTTAGAAGTGGTCATTTTTGGCGCGCCAGCGGACGCCGGCTGTGGTCCAAAGAACAAGTCAGAGCCGAGATTTGATGATCAAGCAAAATTATATTCTGATTAACGGCAGATCAAAAACAATACACACGTATGCACACTCCACAATAGTTACATACAATACGTCACCAAACAAACAACGTACTACACAGTACAATCAACCACACTTGAAACAACGGACACAGACAACAATACGCACTACAATGCAGTCGCATGCATTGACCAACCAAGACACTTAAATACTAAAGAGATATAAAACCTATTCAGTCCAAAGTCCTTGGAACAAAAGTCTGAATGATACTCTTCCGAGAATCACTCACTCGAAGTCCAGCGTTGTTGTCGTTCCGCGCCCTCGAAGTTTCTCTTCCAGGAAACCTCGCGTCTTCAATTGGCCACTCTCCAAGCTCCAAACTTCTTCGCCCGAACACGTCGGCTTCACACACGCAGCTGTTGCCGCGCGTCTTCGCTCGATAGCGGAAAACACACGCTCTTGCCTGTAGCTCGAGTCTTCACCCCTCAGGTGGAAATCCTCTTCATCTCCTGCTTCGTCCCTACGGACAAACCTTCGCCGACTACACGGCGGGATCCCTTCGCACTCTGGCGCAACTTCCGTCTTCTCCTGCTCACTCGTCTCGGCCGCTCGATTAAATATTTTCCGTGCCACCTTCTAGAAAGTTCTCGTCATTTCGTCGGCGCGATACGCAGCGAAGGCTGGGGAGAGGCGCGAGACTGTAAGGGGCCGTCCCCGACAGATGAGTCAACCCGGCATACACGCCCCGTTCCTTCTGGAAAAATCGAGTGCTTGCTCGGCCGCCGTTGTGGGGTGAGGAGGTTCGTCGGCGAAGCCACGCTTCTGCGGGGAGAGCGCGCGCCCGGGGAGCCTTGGATGTTTGTTTTCTTTTTTTTTTGACCTCGCGGCGTTTCTCTCGCCCGTTATCGCAAGAATTTGGCGGCGCGCCCTTTTTTGAGCGCTCGTTTCGTGACACTGCCCCCCACTTTAAGTATATTATCTCATAATATTCAAAACCACACAAACGAGCGCGAACAGTCCCCACACTCTCAAAGACTGTAACATAGTCCGTCGCTCATGACCCGTCACATTCAGAATGGATCACTCAATACAACTGTACATTGTAATTCAATTCCATGACACATGAAATATAGCCACAGGTTCATGACTACAACACTTCATCACACATTCCAATAATACAAATGTACAAAGTTCTCTCATTACAATAATTATACAACACCATACATCACATCACAGCACAAACACTTCGACACTTGTGACACAGGATAACACAACATTAACACAACATCTGGCACTCAGCCCTGCTAAACACACTCCGATTCCACCTCAGCACCTATCCTGTGTATTTCGAGCTGCGCTTGCGTCCTTTTCGATGTCTTCTTGGTTTTCCTTGTTCTTTTTCGGCGAGCCTTTTCCAACGATGGTATCTGAGGCAGCGTCTCAGCCATCGTTGTCACTTCCGACCCTGCTAACGGGTCATGACATTCGACGGGTCCTGTCTGTTTATTTACCAGCTTGTTCATGTCTCTACATTTGGCCCGGCTGGCCAACTCCGTCTCCTTTGCACTGTCGGTTGGTTGAGGTCGTGCCGACGTAAGTCCAGTTGCCCGGCCCGTGAACTCGTTCAACATGATCATCTTATCATCCATAGTCCCTTGCACCGCAGCTTCACCTTGGGCTCGAGTGGGATCCGTCACGGGTTGCTCCTCCACTGTATCTCGCGGTCGTTGGGTTGGCGAGGGCTCTATCTTAAGGTCTTCTCCCAAACATTCCGGATCATTCGGTCCTCGCGCCCAGTCGATGTTTCCGATGACAAGGTCGTAAAAGGGGGTCGTCATACATAGAGCCGTAACCTTCCCGCTGAAGTATGGGGTTTCAAACTCAATCTCTGCTTCGGGAAGCATCCGAACTGTATGGTCAATTAAGCAAACCGGTTTTGTTTTGCCGGTTAACTCACTTTCCCATACCAAGTTTCTCCGCACGATAACAGTGGAGCTGCCGGTATCTCTTAACACCGTAATCTTTTTGCCCGCAACTTTTCCAGGCAGCGTTGGCATTCCTTTCGTAACACCGGTTGGCTGTTTTGACATTACAGCACCCACAATAGGAATTTTCTCCCCATTTTTCAACTCTACAAATCCATCGGTGACGGCATTATTATCAGATTTCGGTGCCGCTTGCACACAGGATACCTGGCGAGTTTGACTCACTCCGTTCCGACAAGCGTCTGCTTTGTGCCCAGTCTGACCACACTTGAAACATTTTACAACCGTAGGGCGCGTAAAGATTGTTCGACAGTTTTTCGCGCGATGACCCACTCGGTTGCACAGAAAACATCGCGGAATGCTGTCTGGTACACGCTTCTTTTCTTCGGGAGCCAATTTCTTCGAATCATCGGGACAATCCTTCTTGACCTTGGCCAAATTAGTTCCCCCTTGCGCTTCCAAGAATTGATCAGCCAATTCAAGCATTCCTTCAAGTGACTCAGCCTTCCTCTCTTTCAAATACAGCGCCAGGCCTGGGTGGCAACTAGTAAGAAATTGTTCTCTAATTAGGAGCTCTCTAAGTTCATCGTACTCCTGTGCTGTCCCTGAAAGTTCAATCCATCTGTCGAAATAATGGCTAAGTCGGGCGGCGTACTGCGTAGCCGTCTCACCATCAGCTGGCTTTCCTGTCCGAAATCTGTCCCGGAATCCTTCCACAGTAAATCTAAATCGTTTCAGCAAAGCAGCTTTCACCTTTGTATAGTTGGCTGCATCGGTCGGCGTCAGCCTACCGTACACACTGAGCGCTTCACCACTCAAGCAAGTACTCAAAGCAGTTGCCCATTGATGCTCCGGCCAATTCTGGCTCCTCGCAATCGTCTCAAATCGGTGAAGGTACGCGTCAAGGTCGTCCTTCCTTTCATCAAACGCTACGAGCAGCTTGCTTGGGTTCAAGCGGAAGCCGTGGTCCTCCCGTTCGCTGCTTTCAACTCTAGCTTGGACGGGAGTTTCACTTCGTTGTTGCAAACGGAGCCGCTCGAGTTCCATCTCGTGCTGTCGCTGCCGTTCCCTTTCCTCTCTTTCTTCTTTCGCCCTCTCAGCTGCCAGTCTTTCTTTCTCCAGCTCCAACTTCAATTGCAGCTCTCTTTCTTTTTTCAGCTGTCGCTCCTTTGCCTCTCTTTCTTCTCTCGCCCTTTCAGCTGCCAACTTTTCTCTCTCCAATTCCAACTTCAATTGTTGCTCTCTTTCTTCTTTCAGCTGTCGCTCCTTTGCCTCTCTTTCTTCTCTCGCCCTTTCAGCTGCTAACTTTTCTCTCTCCAATTCCAACTTCAATTGTTGCTCTCTTTCTTCCTTCAGCTGTCGCTCCTTTGCCTCTCTTTCTTCCTTCTCTCTCGCAGCTGCCAACCTCTCTCTCTCTCCAACTCAGCTGCTTTTTCTTCCTTGGCCCTCTCAGCTGCCAACCTATCTCTCTCTACCGCCTCTTTCTCCTTCTGGCTTACCCACTTCCGTAGTTCGGCGCCAGAAAGACCCATCTTCTCACCAAGCGCGACTAACTTTTCGAGATCCATTGTGTCTCGCCACTCGCAAATAAAACCTTGCCACGTGCAAAAAGTATCTTCCTAAATCAGTCTATCGGAACACTCCCCTGCACTCGTTATCGAGAACACTGAACAACACACAAAATCGTTCCGATAGCACTATCAACAACTCGAGGCTCCTTCTCACTACTTTGGACACACTGTGCACCAAAAGGTCCTGTCGCGGACGCCAGAATAATTGTCACACCGGTCCCGTTAATTAGGGAGGCGATCGCCGAGCTAATTCCAAGTGCCGAAGTATTGGCCCCCCGAACCGCACCACGAAAGCGTGGACAATTTAGAGTGGTCCTTTTTGGCGCGCCAGCGGACGCCAGCTGTGGTCCAAAGAACAAGTCAGAGCCGAGAGTTGATGATCAAACAAAATTATATTCTCATTAACGGCAGATCAAAAACAATACACACGTGTGCACACTCCACAATAGTTACATACAATACGTCACCAAACAAACAACGTACTACACAGTACAATCAACCACACTTGAAACAACGGACACAGACAACAATACGCACTACAATGCAGTCGCATGCATTGACCAACCAAGACACTTAAATACTAAAGAGATATAAAACCTATTCAGTCCAAAGTCCTTGGAACAAAAGTCTGAATGATACTCTTCCGAGAATCACTCACTCGAAGTCCAGCGTTGTTGTCGTTCCGCGCCCTCGAAGTTTCTCTTCCAGGAAACCTCGCGTCTTCAATTGGCCACTCTCCAAGCTCCAAACTTCTTCGCCCGAACACGTCGGCTTCACACACGCAGCTGTTGCCACGCGTCTTCGCTCGATAGCGGAAAACACACGCTCTTGCCTGTAGCTCGAGCATTCACCCCTCAGGTGGAAATCCTCTTCATCTCCTGCTTCGTCCCTACGGACAAACCTTCGCCGACTACACGGCGGGATCCCTTCGCACTCTGGCGCAACTTCCGTCTTCCCCTGCTCTCTCGTCTCGGCCGCTCGATTAAATATCTTCCGCGCCACCTTCTAGAAAGTTCTCGTCATTTCGTCGGCGCGATACGCAGCGAAGGCTGGGGAGAGGCGCGAGACTGTACGGGGGCCGTCCCCGACAGATGAGTCAACCCGGCATACACGCCCCGTTCCTTCTGGAAAAATCGAGTGCTTGCTCGGCCGCCGTTGTGGGGTGAGGAGGTTCGTCGGCGAAGCCACGCTTCTGCGGGGAGAGCGCGCGCCCGGGGAGCCTTGGATGTTTGTTTTCTTTTTTTTTTGACCTCGCGGCGTTTCTCTCGCCCGTTATCGCAAGAATTTGGCGGCGCGCCCTTTTTTGAGCGCTCGTTTTGTGACAGCGGTCATTGTGGGCTCAACTGCGCTTTAGATCAAACGGGGACATTATAAGATAATCAGTCGAAGGAGCGGAAGTGATATTGAAGCCGAAATAAATGTTCATCTGCTTGATTTTTTGGGTAAATATTGTTCATTCCTTATCTCTAATTTGAATCTCAATGCTTGATGCGCATTTGGTTAACGTGTTGTCATCAGTGAACTGTCCGGCGCCAGTTGTTTATTAAGGTTAACCTATATGCACTTTTTAGGACACTTTAGTGATTTGAGAGCTCTGTCACTTTGTCCCGTCAGTCCAGTCTCACATTTTTACTATCACTCAACTTTACAAAAGAATAAAATAGGTATCTGGAACCCCCATTGTCTCTCTCATACGGCGTGGCTGTTCGTCGTTCTCGCGAAAACTTACAGCACATTTCGGCTGCCTTTCCAGCTTTCAATGTACTGAGTTCGGTAATGAGAAGCCAGTAGTAGTGACAATATTGCCTACACCGACACCTATGTGTTTCATGTTCCCGTATACCGAGAGCGCTCAATTAAATGGTGCAGAGGTCTGTAACAAGTATTACGTCCACGTCCAAAGATACTTACATAGCGATGTTGTATTGGACCATTTGGTGCCTAGATTACTTAGATATGCTTGATTTTGGCCCAGAATACACCTATTTTTTATCACAGTCATATTTTGAGCCGTCCTGTACACATTCATTAGGTGACACATACCAGAAACCCGGGCTCTATTCTTACACTGTCGGCCTGCCTGAACGCCAAGAACCACAGAAATATATATTCTTCACCGGTGGGGTTGTGTAGAAACTCCTGTATACGGTGTTAGTTCCTGCTTTTGACCAACATCACATTTAGTATACGCACAATCATAAAGCATTGTCTTGCTCTATGACCATTACGGCTAGCGGTTGGTACATAGACAGCTGTGTTATTGACGCGATATAACACGAGTGGTAGCAAAGTTATAAGCCTGTCAAGTTAAGTGCTTAAACCATCCACTTCAACACAACACATGCGCAGATAAGCCACTCACTTCGACTCTTGTTCAAACTTGGCAGCGAAGTCGACTGAGATCAGGCTGCTTCTTCTACGAGAACCTGCGGACAACACCAACGCAACAACGAATGGCATTTCGAACACTCTTATTGAATGTTTCACTAAAGGAGGCTTTATTTTTTTTTCATTATCGCGTTGAATGAACGCTATGGAAAGATGCACATGCTGTTTGTAATTTTCTGATGTCACGTTTCTTTTCTCTCTCTCTCTCTGTCTACTACCTGAGCCTCCATGGTGTAGTCCTAAATATTTGCGGAGGACTATGAGGTGGCATTGTGGCGCGTCTAGGAGACCGTGATTTCAAAACAGTCATGCTTCTTAAAACCGATGATGATCTTTTTTTGCTCATTTTTGTTACTTCTTATATGCGAGTAATGAGGTTTCCTTACGTTGGCTTCATCTCAAGCTGCTGGTTTTCCCATTGTCCACGATTTTACTTGTTTTTCTTGCAAACATTGCTAAGACGACATATCGCGCAAGTGGAGTACATAGTTGAAGAGCTATCTTTACGAAGATTGCGTGGGGAGTGAACACTAGGACCCCGCCGTGGTGATCTAGTGGCTAAGGTACTCGGCTGCTGACCCGCAGGTCGCGGGTTCAAATCCCGGCTTACGCGGCGGCATTTCCGATGGAGGCGGAAATGTTGTAGGCCCATGTGCTCAGATTTGGGTGCACGTTAAAGAACCCCAGGTGGTCGAAATTTCCGGAGCCCTCCACTATACGGCATCTCTCATAATGATATGGTGGTTTTGGGACGTTAAACCCCACATATAATGTCAATGTGAACACTCGGAGATATCCGCCGACGCCTGCTGGCAGACTCTCACAGCATAGAGAGCTGAAACCGGCCCCGTTATGTTCCTTTTGGAGTGATGGATGACTCGGGCGAGAAGCGACGATGCCGTGCTCACATAGAAATCATTTATTCATTTTTCGCATGTACTTCCGAGACTCACTCTACTACTTTTAATGAATCCTATGCATAAAAAACGGCGCTAAAATTCACTGCGAGGTCAACCAATGAATATAATAGCGATGAATTGGGATGGTATACAAAGTAACGCTAGCAGCTAACTGGCTAACTCTATCAAAATCTGATCTCGCGTCACAACACTAACGCAAGCGAACGTGGTTGCTCCAGTGAGCGAAGTTATTTTCGTGCTGGCTGTCACCTAAACAGAAAATGAGCGACGAAAAGACAAAACGTACAAGGGTAGGAGTCTAAAAACACTGGAACTGTATATGTCTGCCGAAAAAGCGTGCGCTTACTCCATCTCATCCCTCTTAGGGAGATCGACGGAGCCGGTTGACGTGTTTCGTATATGCTTGAGCCGCACTCGTCTGCAGCCATCACCCGCTTTTGCCTGCATACTGAACAAGCCCTATCGTACAAGTCAATTTCATTGATTTGGACTTTACACTGGGCACGGCCCAGACGTCTCTGGCCCATTATTATAACATTAAAGAAATGGCGAATTTTCCGTGCTCGATGAGCCTTTGGGACACAAAATGCATTACCGTCCACCCACAATTTTATTTGACCAATTGGCTTTTCTAGAAAATTTTGCGTTTTGGGTATTAATTGAAAACCCCTTTTCATTTATTTTAAATTGGCTTTAAACACGGTATGCTTATACAGGAACAGGTCTTTCCCACACCTTTAATTTCGGCTTTCTTTTCTTGAGCTGGGAATGAAGTTTAGATTGGATTGGGGCATGACGGTGGCCACGAAAATGCGCCTCGAGTGGCAGTACGATTGCCACTGCATTGAAAAATTTGGTTCAGGACGCACTGGAGGATTTCACATCATGGTTCATGAATCAACGCCCTAAACCAACTCACCTAATGCTCCTTTGCCGTAGGTGGATGACTGTCCCGAATCGGGTGTCCACAAGATGTCGCGGCTGCTGCGACGAGACAATTGGGGAATCCCTCCGGGGCTGACCAGTTGTGGTACCGAGCCCATGAGTGCGGGCAGCCGCTGGTTGGACAGCTCCACTTCGGGCTGGTTCGCGAGGCGCGCCAGAATCGAAGCCTTGCGCAGCATTCGTCGTCGCCGAGCGCTCGTCAGGGCGTCGTTCTCGATCTCAACCATGGTGCACTCGACGACGGGCATCACGATAAGCGTAGAGAGGACGTTCTCGAAGATTAGTGTGCCGCAGAAGGCGAGCGCCATCAGCGCCGTGAACACGGCCTTGACGCCGGCGCCGCCCGCGCCCAGAATGGCGAGCGCCACGCGGCTGTACACGTTCGTCCCTTCCATGGCGAGTGCGAGCAGGACCACGCCCACGATGAACAGCATCGTCTCCTGTGTTCAACGAACATTTACATACCGGCAGGAAATTTAAAAAAGAACGCCCATGTCGGGAATAGTCGGGAGTTAGGAGCGTATACATCCAACTCCTGACTATAGTCCCGACATGGGTCTAATCAGGAGTTCGATCTATACGCACAGTCTTCTCTTGCTTCGAGACCCAATAACTGGCTTTTCTTTCTCTCTCTCTTTTCCTGACCGAAAGCACTGGTGAGCACATCAGCGAAAAGTCGTCCGTGTTTCCGTCACCTAAAATTCACCATATTCATATTGTAGCGATGCTGATGCAGACAGGCTAAAAAAAACAAGCGTCTTTATTAGGGCGAACTTGTGCCCACGAGTCTAATGAATATGGTCATCGAAGTCCGAGTAGTTGAGTTGCACAGATCCAGCTGTCTTCATCTTTCTCGTAGCCTGAGCGCACGAACATGTGGCGCATGCCAACCGGGTCTTGCATGGTGCTCGTGCCACGATGATTGCGGCAGGCTATTCTAACGTGGCCAACTTGCTGCGGCAATATGCATATTTTTGCGAACCTCGCTTTAATCATTCTGTCATCCGCAAAGGCGCTGTTTACGCAAACTCAAGTCGCAAAACGTCATGCGTGTTTTTTCCTGTCCGATTAACTACTTCGTCTGCTTCCTGCCTCACAGCGCTTTTTCGTGGTACAACTAACGTTGGCTAGACTCATACGAGCGATTGAGAGCCTTCGACAAAGGGGTGCTCAACTATTAAGCCAAAATAAGTCTGGTACCTTTCGACAAGCAATAGGATGGTTCCTGAGAGGGATCTATCCATGAGGCTTTCTTCGCGGAAACTTTTCATCACACCACAGAGCGAACATCAGGCGCACGGTAGCATTTATATATACGGTAACACGCCCAAGCAAGTGGCACACTTTCGTCACTTCATTCATTTCGGAGCAACAGTGAACAACAATCAAACGACAACAATATTTCTCTCAGGAATGTTGTATGCCGCTGCCAAATCCATGCATACACCACCTAGAAATTGCGAGTGAAACACAGGCTTTTGCTTGGTTTGGAGAATACAGCTCATGCAGCTCACGCACGTTCACGTAATGTCCGGCAGCGAGGCTCGGGTCCATAACGCCCAAAAGTGGCAGCAGTACCAGGGGCACCGACGATGCCACAGGCGCCGGGATAACGTTCAGCACCCAGTACTCGAACACGATCAGCATGCAGTAGGCGCAGCGACCTTCCTAAAAAAACGTAATCGTGAAATGAAACTCATTAGACGAAACATGTGTTCGTCACACACACTCACTCTAGGACGATGAAGGAATGTTCTCATTACAAATCGTGTCAACGGCTACCGAAGCAAGTTGTCTTCTGTGAAGCTGTGAGGACTCGTGACGAATATCTTTTCGTTGGGGCAGCAAGTACGTGGACATCAGGGGGGGAAGTATCAGGCATATGCGCCACCTCGTTCTCAAAGCACATGCGTAGTTCGCGCGTGGATGCTGGCATTGAAGCCTCAAGTGTGTTTTGGCAATATGTGATTGCACGTAACCTTAGTTGAGGGAACACGTTTCAGTTGCAATATACCAACTCCTTTTTCCACCGAAGGCTTTGCAGTTTCAAAATAGTCGTTCAACGAAACAAGAAGAATGACGCAAGTGTGTACGTTTACGGCCACAATACTTCCGCAAAGGTTTTGAAACATTGTTTTGCATGATTAGCAGTGATGCGAAAGAAGCAAATGAAGTACTAAGCTGCAGACAACAGAAACACTGAAGAAAGGCAACACAACCATGTTATATTTCTTTCATACCACTTATATGCCCTTGTTAGTATTTCGTTTTATCTGATTCGAGTTGTAATTAACCATGCTTTCGTAGCCTCCCGCTCAACAATCATGTACGAGGGGGGGTGTAAAAAACACAGGGAAATCAAAAGGAAAGGTGTATATTCTTCATCTAAAAATATTCGACATCATCAGTACACACGAAAATAGCCGAAAAATACGACGAAAACGTTAATACGAACCATGGTTCCCGGTAAGAGCAGAGGTGCGAGGTAAACGGGCGCCAAATACGCCACCAGCATCTGCGCCCCGTCGAACCATCGCTGTTTCGCTGTCACATAAGCGGACATTGCGTGAACTGCAGCAGAATACGACGTACAAATAAATGTTGTTAGTCAACCCGTGGTCCATACTGTACTGTCCGAAATAATGGGGATGATTTAACTGCTTTATTATACGAAAATTATCAACAAGTGAGTGACTTATCTTGTTTAACGTTCGAAATGAGCACTTCGACATGCAATCAACGGTGACAAAAGAACAGCGGTGGTTCGCCTGAGTGTTCATTTTTGAAATCAGTTGGTTCGAAAAGTTATGCCAGATGGTTAGAGAGCACAAGGAACGTGTTTCTCTTCATAATGGTGATCTTGAGCATTCGTAATAGTATAGCGTATGGAAAAACAGCATATTTGCTATAACGATCATCAAGTGTTGAGATATATTCGTTATTGGAGGAGAGGGTGAGCTGAAAGGTGAAGATGAAATGCACTGATAAAATGCGGCTACTGCGCTTCCTCAAATTACAGTCTCTGCAAACACACAGTGCCCCCCCCTCCCTCTCTTTCTCTCTGCTGTCATCGAAACTGTGCGCTTAGAAGGAAACCTTGAATGACTGCAGCGAATGCCCGCTTTTCTTCATACTGATCTCTCTTCCTATCTGTTTTTCTTTCCCGCTATGGCAGTACAATTCTCTCGAAAGACTCATACTGCTAATACAAGAAGAAAAAAAAAAGCGCTACAGCGAACCCGACTGAGGGGTGGAAACGAAGCACTCGTATATCAGGAACGACACGTACCTCCATTCTTCCATGACCACATTTGAACACCTGGTTCAGTGTCAATATTAAGCACAGAGGTGCTTCAAATTGGCAACGCATACAGGGCGATCGCGTCAAGAGAACCCCGTGCCAGGTGTACGACCATTCGCGCGTGCATCACGTCACCATCGCGGTTATTCGCTCTTCTTCCATACTATGGTTCGTACCCACTGCAGGGGAGCTTGCAAAAATCGCAAGGAAGCGAAACCTTTCTCACGCAAATATACTCGTTTACGAAGTTTTAGCATCATTTAACAACGTTAGAGAAACTGCAAGATCAGCAATAAGGTGTCGACCAAATGACCTTTGTTAGTTGTGTATGTTCGTCTAGATGTATATAACTGGTTTACGCACATTCATTTCTTTCATCGCATATTACTATAGCTTTAATTTCATTTTCACATATAAGCTTTTTGATACTTTGGAGCACCTTTACGATGTTTAAGGCTATTCTCTTACTTTTTAGATTTCCTTGTTCCTATCTTCCACAGCTACTTTGTTCCTTTTATGTTTGCAAGCAGTTCTTGCATATGCCGAAATTGTTTTGAGCCGCTTAAGAAAGACTCGGGTATAATTCACCGCCAACAACCACATCAGCAAAGTGCGCGTTATGCCAAACAGGTGTGCCGCAGGTGGCACATTTTTTTCGTATATTCACGGATAATGACACAAGCGATACTTCCCTACTTCACAAAAATTTATGATTTATGGCGTCGTGGGTACCTTGCAAGCTTACTAGTATTAGTAGCCCTAAGAGAGTATACGACGGGCTTTCTAACCGGTTCTTCACCAATCCCCCAGTGTGGGTACGAGTCACAGTTTCTACGGTCCACTCCACTCTACTTTAAAAATCCCGTTCTTCCAGCTTTCGCTGAGACTGCCGCTCTTGCGAAGCCGCCACTGCACCTGGGAATGTCCACAACCATCTGGCTACCACCATATATTCCTTCACCCTTCCATTCCTCCTGGGAGACTGCACTGACCCGCTCAGAACCGCAGGAGCAGCATCGGCTGATCCTATGGTCACTTGGAGCCAATGGGGCCCTAAAGTAAGAGCTTCACCCAATAAGTACGATCCTTTAGGCTCACATAAACAAAAGTTTTTCTCTGTCCACGCAAGTCTAATGCGTTTTTTTCCTTCTATTTGTTCAACGTCAATTCAGAGCACCTATATCGCAGAAAACGTCAGACCTCAGGTTGGGGTATGGCATGCAGATACCCTCGTGCTGCAGAACTCTGAATTGTTTTTCACTGAAGCGCCAAGTGGAAGAGCCAATGTAGCTGGGTTTTGTTTTCCTGTAGAGCGCTATAATCTTACACTTTGGGTAACCAAGAAGAAGAAGGTGTTTAATTAGAAGGAGAATTGGGTAACCAAAGTTAATTCATATATGCCCCACTCACCCACCTTCTTGTCTCCCACATTCAAGCGCCTATCCCAGCCAGATTATATATATATATATATATATATATATATATATATATATATATATATATATATATATATATATATATATATATATATATATATATATATATATATATATATATATATTGCCGCGAAAATAACAGACAGCGACGAAACGACGTCTTGCTTGCCCTCAGACCAGGACGCAAAAGCCCTCTTCTTTCTTCACTTCAAAGGGATTCCGCCTACAGTTGATGGCTCATACCCATTACCTGTGACATTACTCCCTCTCCTCGAAAAGCATCGGCTCGATGCTGGTAATGAGCGATGAGAAATAAAAGAGAAAGAAAAGATGCTACCATGGAACCCAACGACTCCGTCGTAAGGGAGAGAAAAAAAAATGGGCTGGCGTCCTAGAAGTACTCAATAAAGAAAGGAGTAAGTACACAAGACAATAAAAAAAACCAAAGGGACAAAAAATAGTCATTGGATGGTAAGTTAGTCCACGTTCGATGGATGACGCGAGAAATATGGCTTGAGTCTTGACACGTGCACCACATCACTTTGTGGAAACCGACGGGAACGTCTTGAGGCGCCCTCAGGGAGAACTTCATACGTAACGTCACTGAGTCGGCGCAGAACTTTGTAAGGGCCGAAGTAGCGCCGAAGCAACTTTTCAGAGTGACCACGCTGTCGGATGGGAGTCCACACCCAAACTTCATCGCCTGGTTGGAAGGTAACCTCTCGGTGTTTAAGGTTGTAGCGGTGTGCGTCGGCAGTTTGGCGAGCCTGAATACGGCATCGGGCGAGTTGACGGGCCTCCTTGGCGCGTTGAGCGAACAATGCAGCGTCCGTGTTGAACATGCTCAAGTTGTTGGGAAGGAGCATTGCGTCGAGCATTGTGGTGACCTCTCGACCATGAACTAAGCGAAATGGGGTGAAACCTGTACTCTCTTGGACTGCTGTATTGTAAGCAAAAGTTACGTAAGAGAGTATATCATCCCAGTTCTTGTGATCAACGGCCACATACATTGACAGCATATCTGCAATGGTCTTGTTCAACCGTTCAGTGAGCCCATTTGTTTGGGGGTGATAACCCGTGGTTTTCCGATGTTCTGTACCACTTAGTCTCAGCACTTCTTGAAGCATCTCTGCGGTGAAAGCTGTACCACGATCAGTAATTATCACAGCTGGCGCTCCGTGACGAAGTACGATGCTGGTGACAAAAAACTGTGCAATTTCGGCTGCGGTAGCTTTGGGCAGGGCCTTTGTTTCGCTGTAACGCGTTAAATAATCGGTGGCAACCACAATCCACCGGTTTCCAGACGAAGAGGTGGGAAATGAGCCGAGCAAGTCAATGCCAATTTGATGGAATGGTGTCTTCGGCGTGGCGATAGGCTGTAATAGTCCTGCTGGTCGGACAGGCGGAGTCTTACGGCGTTGGCAGTCGCGGCATGTGCGGACGTACTGCTTGACTGTCTTCGCGAGGCGGGGCCAGTAGTATGAGCGGCGAATTCTTTCCAATGTGCGCGTGTAGCCAAGGTGTCCGGATGATGGTTCGTCGTGACAAGCATGTAAAATATCGTCCCGAAGCGAGGTCGGCACAACCAGTAGGTAAGTAGCCTGGGTATGGTCGAAATTTTTCTTATAGAGGACTCCATCCCTGATGCAGAACGAGGCCAGTGAACGTGCGAAGTTTCGAGGAAGGCTGCGTTTTCGGCCTTCGAGGTAGTCAATCAGCGGGCTTAGCTCCATGTCGTCGCGTTGTTGTTGAGCCAAGTCGGTTGCTGACACAGAGGAAAGGAATGTATCGTCCTCTTCAACGTCCGCGTTCGTACTTCGAATTGGTGCACGCGAGAGACAGTCAGCGTCAGTGTGTTTGCGTCCTGACTTGTGAATGACTGTAACGTCAAATTCTTGCAGCCGAAGGCTCCAGCGTGCTAGACGACCGGAAGGGTCTTTGAGGTTGGCGAGCCAGCATAAAGAATGGTGGTCGCTAACTACCCTGAATGGACGACCGTATAAATAAGGGCGAAACTTTGTTATAGCCCAAACAACGGCTAAGCATTCTTTTTCTGTTGCAGAGTAGTTTTTCTCTGCAGATGATAGTGTTCGACTTGCATAGGCAATCACGCGCTCTACGCCATTTTGCCATTGAACCAGTACAGCTCCAAGTCCGACGTTGTTGGCATCCGTGTGTAGCTCTGTGGCAGCGTTATCGTCAAAGTGACCGAGTACAGGTGGGGCTTGGAGGTGGTTTCGTAGCGTGTCAAAGGCGTGATGCTGATCATGACCCCAAACAAACGGTACGCCGTCTTTCGTAAGTTCATTTAGCGGTTCAGCGATTTTAGAAAAGCCTTTGACGAAGCGTCTGTAATATGCGCAGAGTCCCAGAAATCGGCGGAGGTCGCGCTTGTTCGTTGGGACAGGAAATGCGGCAACAGCTTTCGTTTTCTCAGGGTCTGGGTGTATACCGGCGTGGCTGACGACGTGACCAAGAAATTTTAGTTCCTCGAATGCAAAGTGGCATTTCTCAGGTTTGAGAGAAAGTCCAGCTGTTCGAATCGCCTGAAGAACTGCCTGTAAGCGCTGGACGTGCTGCTCAAACGTGTCCGAGAAGACGACTACATCGTCAAGGTACACAAGACACGATTGCCATTTTAGCCCAGAAAGAACCGTGTCCATCACTCTTTGAAAAGTAGCTGGTGCCGAGCATAAGCCGAATGGAAGGACCTTGAACTCGTAGAGTCCGTCAGGAGTAATGAAGGCGGTCTTTTCGCGGTCGCGCTCATCAACAGATATTTGCCAATAGCCGCTGCGTAGATCCATGGAAGAAAAGTAGCGAGCATTGCGAATGCGGTCCAGCGAGTCGTCTATTCGTGGTAAAGGATACACGTCTTTCTTTGTGATCTTATTCAACTTTCGGTAGTCGACGCAAAATCGCAGAGTACCATCTTTTTTCTTGACTAACACAACAGGGGACGCCCAGGGACTGGTCGATGGCTGGATGACATCGTCCTTGAGCATCTGCTGGACCTGTTGGCGTATAACGTCTTGTTCTTTTTGCGAGACCCTGTAGGCATGCTGTCGAATGGGTCTCTCGGTAGGCTCGGTGATGATACGATGCTTGGCAAGCGGTGTTTGGTTAACTTTCGAAGTCGTAGCGAAGCAGTCCCGAAATGAGCCGAGTAGCTTCAAAAGACGTTCCCGTTGTGCAGACGGTAGACCCTGGTTTACGTCCAGAGTGCTTGCAAATGTCACGGCGGAATCGTCGCACGACGAAAGAGCAGATAATGTTGAGGGACCAGGGACGTCGGCAATATCCTCAAGGTATGCGATCGCAGTGTGTTTGGTAAGATGGCGATACTCCTCGCTGAAATTCGTGACGAATAGGCAAGCCTGCTTTCTGCTGGGCTGAACAATACCTCGGGCAACGCAGATTTGTTGTGCAAAAAGTAGGGACAAATTTCGTTGATGTTGGCAACTCGATTGAAGTGGTCAAGCCAGTCGTCAACATCTTCATAAATATCTCCATGAAATGAGCGTGGTGTTTGCGGCGCATGAAAAACATGCGGGAGAA